TGTGTCAAAATCAGAAGACTAGAGTTTCATTAAATGACTACTACTATTTATTAAATCAAGAAAAAAAACAATGCGAAAAAACTCTCTATACCTATTATACTTATTTTGTCATGATCTAATACTTTCCAAAAGGCTTTCTCTGGATATTTATTTTTTTTCTCAAATTTTCGAAAACCTCTCTAATTCTAATAAAATGTTAACCAATGCAGCTACTGCTCAAATAATAAGGCCTTAATTAATAATTAATTATCATAACCGAAAACTCGCTATATGTAGTTTCCAATGTATCCAATGTAGTATCCGCTGATGCAACTTCACTATAAGGTGAAAACGCTCTCATCAGTATCTATCTGATATTTCCATGGCTTTTTTACAGCATGATTTATACGAATCTTCAAAATAGGCCTCTATTTACTAAACCGAATAACAGTACATGCTTTTAAAGTTTGCGTGAAATTGATCATTTTAAAACATATCATGAATACTAACTTTATTCATTTTATCTATTAAGAACGATTGATTAAAGAATAGATTTTAGCCACGGATTTCAGCCAAACAGTCGATTATTACTTTTTTGCATATATCAATGGTACATAGTCATTTCATAGAAATACATGCGAATGTATTGACTAGAAAGGTGTTTGATTTGGTGTGCTCTGATCTAAAAATGCAGTAAGTAAAGACATACTCATCTTCGGTGAAAGGTCTAAGTGGCTTAATACGTGAATAAAGGGGGCACTACCAACAAGCGATAACAAACCACTAACTAGACCAATAACACTGACTAGAGAAGACTATTTCTGTTTATAGGTCGATTGTGTTACCGAATATAGATAAAGTCAGAGGTTTAGAACCATTTCGAACCTTTGGCAAAGCTTATAATGCTATTCAAGGTGAGGTCTTGCAGTTGACCAAGATTCTCAAAAAAGAAAGCCTCTAAAGTGGAAAGGCGGCGCCGCACAATGTCGGATAGAAACAAAGCAGATGAAAGGGACTTGCATTGTCTTCTTTACAACTGCGACAGGTATAATTGAAAAGCAGATTCTATCTTCTAGCAATGGGTATCTTAACTAAACAGTAAATTCCAAGACATATGCATATGCAATAGTTTTTTTGATAGACTGATATAACTTCAGTTACTTGATCACGTTTCATTAATTATCATCTTTGTGCCTACTTACTGACAGAATTAGACATATGATTCTTCCACGATTACTCATAATGCTTCAGTCAATATTTCTTATGATGCTTACATATGTCAGACTCTTACAGTCAATATGTTTCTGGTTTTAATCAGTTGGCATCAATCACACACTCATTTTAAGTAATTTTATAAGAAAATTTTAATATTATTTTTTTCAAATATGGGCACTACTGTATATGAAATCTATTACATTATTTCTACTTGATTTTATATTAATATGCAACGAATAATGAAATATAAGAATTATTTCCAAGACTACTGATGATGGGTATTTGGCAATACTCAAAACAGGTGTATGGTAGCCAAAAATTTAATTAATTTAAATAATATAAAAATAACTTTTGTTGCTGTAGTTCACTACTTTTCGAAACGTCTCTATTAATATGAAAATTTGAAAGTGATTCAGTTGTTTATAATAATCAGTAAAATAATTAGATTTCTTGAAATATGTATTATAATTAATATAATCCCTATCAGATGAAAAAAAAAAACTTTTAATACAGATAAAATAATTCAAACGCAAAGTCAATGTATAGGATGTTTGTGGGCTTAGCATTTAAACCATAAAATAATACTTCCGCTGCATATACGTTTATATCACAAATAGGAGGTCTATAAGAATGAGAATACCTATTTTTCAAAATATTGCTATAAAAATAGCTGTTCACATATACTCGTACTCGTGTATTTTTATAAAAATTGTGCAAAAGATAATGAATTCTGTTTTAAAGCAATGTCATTATCTAATGAGATGTATTCGTGATCTAATATGTAGCATTTTCTTGTAACAACCCAACTTATCACATTGCAGAGATATGGGTTTTACTTAATATGATTTCATGAAATTCAAACATTATTTAATATGTGACGTCAAATCACCTCCTAAAAATAGTGAATCTGCCATTTTGCTGAGAGATTCGAATGCGTGGCGCAAAGGTAACACTCAGCATTGCCTTGAGCCAATTAATGTGGAGCCGTGATGAATTATGGGAACGTGTGTATGGAATAAATTACTACGACGAAAAAATTTTAGTTCATATTTGCTTGATACGCTTCTATGAACAAAATGAATAATGAATGAGGAGCGACTAACCAGAATAGCAAGAAATTGAACGCAATTTAAAAATTCTTATCAAAATTTCTGACTTTAATTCTAATCTGACAAAAATAGAAGAAATGATAAAGAATTTTTTAAAACGGTTTGTTTCTTTAAACTTTTTATTTATTTTTCTAAATGAAACTCTCAGCTATACTCGTATTATCTATTGCCTGATTTAACCGGAAATGAAGCTTAAACGATTTTAGTGTGTTGTGGTCAAATAAATAAGAAATAATATTAAAATGTGAAAGCGCAAAAGAAGATCAATAAAATTTTAACAATTAACGATAAAATCTCAATGAAAGCTGAAAGCCATTGAAACCGAATTGGAAATGGGAGCACAACAAGTATCCGCCAAAAACGAAAGCTAACAGCCTTAAATTGAATACGAGTATCGTTGCAATTTTAAAATACGTTTCGGTTGCCCGTAGTTCTTCTGAGCTTCTGAGCTTCTGAGAATTGAGCCAACTCGAGGAAGCACTCATGCGGCAGCAGGCACACAAAATCAATTCTGAAGATAATAAATTTAATTTTATTCTGCTACTTGAAGTTGGTGTATTAAAATGCGTTCCACACGTCTGCCTTGAACTATCAGTGACTTCAATAATAAAGAAAATAACCGTATAAAAAAGGCGTTAAGGAATAAGGGCAGGAGAAGAAAACAAGAGACACGAATCGAATCGAATCGCTTCGAATCGAATGGAATCGAATGGAATCGTAGCGAAATGAAAAGAAATCTATGAAACAGAAAAGAGATAACTTTTAAGTTTGTTCATAGTTTTCTTTAGAAAATTTTGTGCTTTTGTATTTGAAGGCTTAGATGGAAGCGCATCATCATCATCGGTTGGCATGAGCCATGGAACGTGCTTGACATTTGCAATTATAAGTTTTACATTCCTTATCACTTGTGAACACAATATCGTTTCGACCAATAACTAACCTCAATTATCTACTATTGATTCTGAATGTGCTATTTCTTCTTTTTTTTATTTTTTCTTGAATAAATTTTATTATTAAATTTTTGCTTTGTGTTGGACTTATTGAAGTCTCAAATCAAATTTGGCTTCTGTAATTCTGGCTAACGAAATAAGCTTGACACTTTTTGTACGAAAAATCTCTAGCAAATTTGTCCTCTCAAAATCAACGCTTCGTTAGGGTGAAATGTTGGATTCCAAAAAATGTTTGCTTGATTTTAACAATTTTTATAGACAAGAAATGGACCAGGATATGCTATTATAACCGGTAAAAGTTAAGGAAGTGGATATTCAGAAATGGATGCATTATATTTTAATAATTAACTGCTTTCTTATTCAGAACTTTCTTTTGAGAATATTTGATATTCGTATCATTACAGTGCTTAGAAATTGAAATGTGGATATAATTATATTAAGTATAAAATATTAAATGATCATTCGACTTTAACTTATGTATTAGTCACCAATAACTTAAAATAGTCACTATTATTAGTCACCATTATTAGTCACCTATATAAAGGAAGGATGTTTGTTAAAATAGTGAAAGGATTTGAAATAGGATTTATCCACCTACTGTGTATATATAAATTTAATAAAAACAAGTTGACACTCAATATTTATGTAACACTCCGGATAGCCACCAGGCTAAAGAGCTTACACTCTAAGTATGCCTCCTCAGTATGCTCTTAGCATGTTATCTAATAAGTCACCATAGCCTGCGTTATCACCTTAACAGGATAAGCACACAATGTCTGTTCTCTGTACACAATTGTCGTGTTAATCTGGTTTTCATTTGGTACATTTAAAATGAATTATATCCACTTGCTCTATATATAAAAATTGAACCAAATAGAGTCAACAGCCATGTTTTACATATCACTTCAGGTAACCGGTATGTTAAATAGCTGATACGGTAACGGATTCCGTCTCAGTAGACACGTTCCAGGTTATCGTATAGATCAACATAGCTTGCAGAAACTTTTCTGCATTTATGTATTTTTTCAGAAACAGAATGTGCCACACCTTTCGTGATAGTCTTTCTTTGATTATGGTATGAAGAGAATTCTAGAAGATGGGTCAATATAGCCATCTCAGATGGATAGATCTGCAAATAATACACATATTTTCTAGAGAATTTAGAGGAAAGAATTGGCTGCCAAATTTATTAATCTTTCTAAGCAATGTTATTTAAATTAGAAGCATTAGATATAATATATTTGGGACATGTTAAAGTTCGAAGGCAAGGAATCAAAGGTTCAAGTCAATATATAAATAACTGTAAGTTAACTATTTTTGGCTTGGTATTTTTATTAGTACTCTTCCTGATAATTACTACTTCTAATATAGAAAATCACAAGAGGCTAACATCTTAGACTTTTATGAAGCATAGAGAGAAACATTTATCAATATCAATTCATAAGCCATTAATCATTTTAAATCATAAGCTATTGGATTTACCCGACTTTACTAAAAATCTGACATTGAGGCGTTGTTCAAAAATTGACAATAAAATAACAGTCAGATATATATTGGCAAAATACGTATTTATACAAGAGAGTATGGATTAACTTTATGGCGTAGTGTGACGATACTTTTTGTTTAACTTTAATTTTATCCAAATTAAATAATTAGACTGTAGAAATTTGGGAATTGAGTTATAAAAATCAAGAAAGCTAAGAATTCAAATATTTAATAAATTAAAATTACAAACGAAATACGAAATTTATTTTCTCATAATAATTTTTTTTTATAGATGTTGTTCTGAAATCTAATAACTATTTCCGTTTTAGGTCAGAATGTCAAAATTTTTGTTATTATTAAAATTTAATCGTTATATTTTAGGTCCACTACAAAAGTAGGTGCAATAATTATCTTTAATTTCTTACCGGCAAATATTATTTATCTTTTTGCTTGCAGTCGTAAGTTATCGTCTGCCCCATCTATTGATACTGGAATTACCACTGATCAATGGTCCGAAGTAATTAATTTATTTATCTATCTTAATTTCATATTTCAAGTAATTTGTGTTGTCATTTAAAAAAGGTAAAGGAAAGGCTCAAAAAATTGCAGGAAAGAATTACTGTTGTTAAAACCGACTTGAAAAAGGAATTACATAAGCAGGAGCAGAAAACAAAGACCCTCCAATTCGTTCAAAACTTTCTAAAAACGAAAAATGAAGAAAAATAATTATGAAAATCGGATTAGTGGTATACTCTCCAATGGAAATCGTAATCGGCTAAGTTTTCTGTTAAAAGAAACGATTTTTATGGCAGGTTTGACAAAAAAAATTTTTTAACATTATTAAGCTAACTAGATTAAAACTATAATAATTATAATATATATAATTATTTAAAGTATAGTTCATCTTATATTAAAGACACTTCCAAGTAATATTGTAGTTATATTCGTATGAGTATAGTCATTCTCCTGGTCGAACTTTCAGCTGATGAGTTGAAACTGAAGCTGAGCTAATTATGATATATATAATCTATGATATATATGATATATATATAATCACAACTCGTTCACATAATTGCAATGTTGGGATTCTGGAAGTCATTCTGATCAATGACTTTTTCAGTCATTGATGCTATGCAAAATCTGATACGAATAATGCAAGCTCGTCATGCGACATACTGTGAGATTGAGGGCAGCCCAGAGTATTAGTTCCACCAGCATATATAATATATTGCAAGATCATTTTGCCGTGAGAAAGGTTTGTTCTCATTAGATCATCCATCATTTGACAAAATCTCAAAACGACACATTTGCTCGTGTCGATTGGTGCACGTAAATGCTCAAGACGTACAATGGTGGTGCTTTAAAAGACTTATATGAGTATAAGATTGTAACAGCTGGCGAATCATGGATATATGCATATGAGCCGAAACGTAAACAACAGTCGACTGTATCAGTATTTCAAGATGAACAACAAATGCGAAATCCAACAAAAGTTGTTAGCGCTAGAAGTACTTTGAAACAAATGGTCATTTGCTTTTTCGGGAAAATTGGTCATGTGGCAACTACACCAACTATACCATTACAGGAACGTAAAACGGTCAATTCTGAACGGTGTACAACCATTTGTTTATCGGAAATCTTTAGTGAAATATGGAAAACAAACAAGCGCAGTCGGAACATTCTCTATCAACATCAAGCCAATGCGATGTGTAATGCGAGTTGTGGGAGCAACATCTCGCATAATAATCGACTATTTGAATATTCAAAAAATCGAATTAATGGATCATCCGCCGTATAATTCTGATTTGGCACTCAATGGCTTCTTCTTGTTCCCGATGGTTAAGAATTAATTGCATGGACAACGATTTTTGTAGGCGGAAAAAGTTTATTATTATTACTTCGCTAGGTATTAAGTCTCTTGCTCTAATCTCTCTCCTTCTTGATTACTGGAATGGCGTTGTATGCGCTGCACGCGGCTACAATCTTCCATATTCATTCCTAAGAGGTGGTTTTAGTGGGTTCAAGTCTCAGGTTCATAAGTTTTTATAACCATCTCAATATAATAACTGCGTCAAATTGTTCATTAACATATTGCAAATGAAATAGTGAGTAGTGAACTGAAGATAGAACTAAAAAATCTGATATTTATACAAAAATTGTGGACAAAGCCAGAAATATTTTATGTGGCCAAATTCCTTTATTACACTGTCTTCATTTCATATATTTTTGTTCTTGTTTTGAAAACAATATTACAATCGAATGACAGTATGTAGTTGAAATTATCGGAAAACCAATTTTCCCTTTAGCTCTTCAAATGCGATAAATTCAAGAGCAATTTTGTTCCGTTGTCTTATACAAATATTAGAAATTCTTTAAATATTAAACAAATTTTCATAAAATAAAAGAAATGAAACTTTTCTCGAAATCAGTAAATAATTTTGATTTATAGAATATCATCAATTGAAAGAAAGTCTTGCAGCTAAACTTTACATATTACTCGTCATTTATTTGCTTAAAGCTGGAAAAATGTATAAATGCCGGTAGTGATGTACAAATACATACTTCAATCATTGGCAAACGGTTACTTTCTACCTTCATCTTTGTTCACATGCTCTCAACAAACATAATCAAAACTTGACTTTCATGCATTTAAGTATCAAATATTTATCCATATTTCTTTGAAAATGTGTTAACATACAATCTAGTTGCACACCTAACGTAATGAACAGAAGAAGTAATCGGTTTCATGATTCGATAAACGGATATACAAGTCCGGTTGCAAGGAATTGCAGAGGCACCTGCGAACATCTGTGTGCGATAGTTTGCGTTATAAACATTTTGCAGATGAACTGATAAAATATTCACGTGGAAAATGTACGCAAAGTTCATAATTGTGATAAAGTTGAAATTTGTGTGTTGCCAACTTATTCTGCTGTAACATTAAATAAAAATAAAAATAAAAATAAATACAAAGAGAAAATAAAGAGAAAATAAAAAGAAAGGTTTTAATACTTATTATCTGAATTGTCTTCTGCTTTCCAAATAGCTGAGGCTTGCTTCCAAATAATTTCTAATGATTAATTACTCACAGTTTACTTAATACTATAACTGCTTTAAGTTCAGCACAAGTTATGAACTTACCGACTATGTCTACATAATATGCTAACAGTCATCCGTATATAAATATCTAAGATAGATTAAGTATTTTGTTACGCACAATTTATATGTTATCCCATTTTGAATGGAACTTTATTAATCAACTTCAGACTAAAAATTCTACATAAAACCCCAGTTGAACTAAGCATGCCTTCCTAAAGTGTAGAATAGAGGTTTAAGTATCTGCTTTAATAGAAACACGTACGTTAGTCATGGTTACGTGATATGGAATGTTAACTAAAGACGAACAGGCGATAGCAGAGCAGTATTTACTGACCAACTTTAGTAAAATTAATATAAAAAGGAGTTTCTATAAATTTTGTGATAAATTTAAATAATTTCCAAATGTAGTCTTTATAGAAATGATTTCTGTACATCATCCAAATTTGTTCTTCAAAAAAAAAATACCATTCTTTAATTAAGGATAAGTTGAATTAAATCTCGTCATAAGATATCATTTCATAATTTCGCTAAAAGTTTAGATATGTTAAACCTAGCTTAGTAACGTAAAAGTATAATATTTTGATTTATTTCGTCTTAAAGAATTGTATGAACTCATAATCACTGACATAATTACATATGTTGGGCTAAGTTATTCAAATGTCGATAATAGTTATCGAAAATAAGGTATACTTGTATATACAAAAAATTGCAACGTATCTGTGTCCACTAATATTTATATATATAATATCCAACATCATGATTTCAAAGTTATAAAGTACTTAATGGTCTATTGTATCCGTATTTAAGTATAGAGTAGTTCTTCAGGTCTTATTACTTTAATAAATTCTAGTCATGCATCTATGGTACTTTCCCGATTCATATTTCCTCATCCGATATGAGACGTCCAAAACTATGTTTCTTTCGTCTATGCTTCAATGCCGGAGAGATTTCTAAAACCAGTTTTGCGGTACCATTTTATTTCGCATAAAATATACAAATTCGTTTCAAATAATTTTCCAATATTTGGAAAATGATAATTCAACCTATAGCACCTTGTTGGAATTCTTAAGCGGTTTTTATTCAACTGCTTAAAATGACTAAATATAATTAATGTGGTTGCACTCTTTAAACAAGTATGTCTGGTTTTCTACAGCATTTTATACGTTACCCGAACTCATAGGGTCCATATAAGATTATTTTGACGAAATATATTTTGGTTTGCGAAACTCTTCAACAGAATTTTATCACTTAAGGAAAGTGAGTGCCTTTATTGCTGTCTGGCTATTAAGTAGTATAGCGGTGCTTTGATATTGATAGGTTTATATAAAGTTAAAATAAACACATCGATATTGCACTTACGAATATGGCTCCTTTTTAGCAAAATGATTATCTGAATACCATGTTAAGACGCTCTACTTGTAAGTTCTAGATATACCCTCTCAATTTTTTTTTACTGACTCAAAAGAAAATTAGTTAATATATCTACTCTGAAGGTGTTGATACACCTATAGAAAATTTGTGAAAGTATTAGAATCTTAATTATGTAATCATATAAGTAAGAACAACGATATGTGGTACTGGTTATGTGATGTGAAATGTACCAACATTAAATATCAGAGAATATTGTGTTATATTTATATTTATATGTTAAGTAAATTAAACTTAATTTCAAGTTCCTTTCTATAATTTCTCAGATTACTTTAAAATAGACAGAAATTTTGATATCGCTAGACAGACGTGTTTGACTATACTGTT